GTAGTTTAAGTGAGGTGAAACTTGGGGGTACACAAGACAAATCAGACTCCTGAAAGGAGTACAGTAGTCTGGAAAGATTGAGAATCACTGGTCTAGAGCACCAGGGTTAACACCCATATTTATCAATAATCTGATTGTGTTATGCAGGAAGTCAGACTAGATGATAATTGTCCCTTCTGGACTTAATTTATTAAGCTATGAAAGCAAAGCATTACAAAGCTTTGATTTTAAAATCAAAATTACTTTCATATGCAAGTAATGCAAGGCAGTACTTAATTATGTTGCAAATACTACTGTATGCTTAGGTGGATGTCTACTTTGCATGGGCAGAGACAACTGGGGACTTGTGGGTACTTTAGTCCTTCCCCCCCCACCCTACCCCACCAAAAAAAATCAGATATTGCATTAACAAATAAAGGAAAGACTGAATCTTGAACAGGAGCTCAATTGTCTCACATTATCAAGAGGACACAAATTTAGTCATGATAAAAAACTACTCAATAAAGCATTACTTTTTTTAAACAGAAGTAAAAAGAATGCCTTGCATAACTGAAAAAGTTCCAGACAATGATCTTTACCCTAGGCTTCTTGAAATTAATTCTTCTGCAGTTATTGAAAGCTACAAGTCAGTAGTTTTCTCCTTGTATACAGGTAAAATCATACACCAGTTGAGCTATGAGTCTTACACTGTGGATCAAAGCAGTGTTTTAATACTAAGTAGAGCACTGAAACTATTCTTACTTAGAACATTTGTAGCTGGTACCACCAAAATAATTTTTATCAACTTCACCACTTCTGAAAACAGCTAATGTTTGGCTTGGCTGGGTGAACAGATATATTTCTGAACTGACTTCAACAATCCCTCTGGAAGATGAAAGCTTATTTGAAACAGATGAAGCTGAATAATCCAGTCAATCCTGGCTGATTTCAGAACCACATCAAGACATGCTTCAGGGATCTCACATTTCTGTCATATTTGGCCAGGTTGTGAGAACTTCAAGATTTTGAATGATTTTGTAGCCTGTTTGAGTTTTGATTGAATTCTAGACAATGTAAAAAAAAAATCAGTTACTTCAAAGCAGAAGTACTTATAAAATTCCTTTACTGAATTTGGGTAGCTGGGTTCACCTGTCTCTATTTACATTTTCTTGGTAATTTTTCTCTTCCTTGAAAGCTCAGGCATTCTGGACTTTCTCCAAATTAAAACTTTTCTGGGGGATTTGCTCCCAGAATGAATTATCACTTTCTTCTGATCTGATGGACTGAAGTGAATTAGTCATTTTCATATAAGACTGTCCTTCTGTTGCTGAAAAGTCCAACCCTTGCAGAGTTTTGGTCAGATTGTCTACCATGTTTAGGACTTTTTGTCATAGTTCAATACCAAAAAGGAAGTTAAACTGCTCTGTTTGAGCTACTGTGCCACCAATTCAAACTCTTATTTCAGGATCTTTTGTTGCATCCTTCACAACTTCTCAAGTTGTACAAGGTAAGGTAGTTCTTCGAAATTGTAACCAATACTGCTTCTTGGAGAGTCCATCTTGTTGGACAGAGGACACTGATACCTGGTGATGTCCTTAACACTACATATTTAATGTCCTGAACTTATTTGGGTAATTACAAAAAAACCTGCTAAATTAATTTTAAAAACAGTTACAAGAGTATCTTAGAATAGTATTATTTTCAATAGCATCCTGTTATACCAAATTCAAAGCATACCCATTCCAATGAGTAGACATAATTTGTGGTTCCTCATGTTGCCATCTGATTGTTACACCTGATACTAAGAGAGAAGGGATCAAAAGTCCTTATGCAGAGGGGGAGGGGTGACACGAAAAACTTTATTCACCAAACACATTAAAAACTACTGAAAATGTTATAATATTACCATATTTACACAGAGAGAGATGAGTGAAATAAAATGAAACCACCTTAACCATGAATCACTAAAGCATCATCATCACCACTAAGTTCACTCTAATATTGTTAACACATCAAATCAACCAAAAGTTATCCAGGTTACAAGTAATTTATAAAAGGTGTAATTGATCTGCAGCTGGGCCACAATCCGCGTGTGGAACAGCCCTAGCACATCACTGTCTTCTACCCTGGCTATTCAGTTCTAGAGAGATTTTAGAATGGCCAATTTTTGCCCGACTCAGAAAAAAGTTAGCCAGGAATGAAACCTGCTGAATGTGAGCACTGTATCTCGCTCCCAGAACAAAGAGAAGAAAACCATTCCCAGACCGTTGAAAAGCTGCTGAAAAACAAAAACGAGAGGAATCAAATGGGGGCAATGAAGGAAAAAATGAACCACCATGTCTGAGGCTAAACAGAAAGTGCACTGCACAGACACATCAGGACTGATATAGTCACAAAATGTTTGGTTGCTATGATGCTGTGCAGGACCCTCCAATGCAAGTCACCAGAACACTTAGAATGAGGAAGCTTCTACAGCATCCTTCAAGCTGAGGACATAAAGTCACCCAGGGACAGAGCCATCCTCTGGGTTGTATCAGGGAGATCAGAGAGGGTGGCATAATGCCACACATACCACAGAGCTGCTTCGTGATCATGGCTACAAAAACATTTACCAGACCCTTCCAGGACAAGAATCTCATCCACAGAAGAGAAGAAAACCAGTGAGGGGAACAGAGGGTTCCCCCACTTGAAGGACAGTTCCTGCAAAAACTTTCTGCAAATGCTGAGTAGCCCATTTAAGGAGTGCCACATGGAATTCAGCAAGAACCTTATCCAAAAAACACACAGACTGGTTTCTGGTCTGAGCAGCAAAAGCTGCTGCTGATTTCCAGTGTGACAAACAAGGAACAATCAGGTGGGGCAGCTTGTCAGTCCAGCCTGAGTAAAGGCAGAAAACGGGCTCCTGGCAGAAAGACCTTCAGAAAATAAAAATGGGCTGAAAAACAGTGTCTCTTAAGACCACAGGCTAAAAATGCCTGGTCAGGCTGGGCACTGCAGAGAAGTCACCAGGCATTAAAAAGGCCATTACAGAATGGAGGCAAATCTAAACTTTGTAATCAACCAGATGCCAACAAGAAAATGTGAAGGTCAAAGCCCATCCCCCAACATGATGGAGGACAGAGAGGGCAAGGGTCTTCCAGGCCAGCAGGGAGTCAGAGTACAGCAACAGTTGAACAGACTGGATGCAAAAGGCCGCCACCCTCCTGACCAGGCCAATAAGCCCCAGCCACCTTCATCTAATGGCAACAGCAGCAAAGCAGGGTGCAACCAGTGGTAACGGTTTAATCAAAAAAAATTTTTTTTGGTGGATGTGCTGAATCTGGTCCTGGAGGCCCGGAGGAGGATCCAGACACACCAGCTGGTGCTACAACACTGAGGCCACATGTTGCTAGCAATCAAAACCCATCCCTGAAAAGATCATCCAAAAAGGAGCCAGTGCCATCTCTTCTGGCAGCCCTGCACGCTCTCTTCAGTCCCCGTACAGTTCCTTAACTTGTATTGTTCAGATACGAAAAATAGCCCTACCTCCTTAATTCCAGAGGTGCCGCACCGTAATTGTTGAGGCACCAAGGGGCGTGCGGCACCGCAAAGGGCCCAATAAGATCTAATTATTCTTAGCCTAGTTAATTCGGGCAGAGGATACTTGTTCATATAGTTGTAAACAGACACAAAGTGCCCACACTTCACCTTCAGTCATGACAAAAACTGAGATTTCATCAGCATAGGTTGACAGACAACCTGGGAAAGTGTCTGGCTCTCCTGACCCAGGTAAGCCAGTCAAATAGCTTTTTAAACAAGCACAGGAATGGCTCCAGACTCAGGGCATATAACATCCCAGACAAAGGGCACCCCAACGTATGCCCCTGTGGACTGGGTAGCAGCAGCTAATACCCCCATTAATCTTTAAGAAACTAAAAACGTTATGGTACAATAAAGAAATATATGAAGTGCATTGACCCAATCCCAAAAGCTTCTCACACTTCTAAACGATAACTATGATTAACTCTATCAAAGGCCTTCTTCTGACCCATTTAAATAAGCCCCACATCCAGATTAAAAAGTTTACTAACAGTAAAAACACCACAAATTACGAATAAATTATCAAAAATACAGGAGCTAGAAACAGAATGTTTGATCAGGATGAATCAAAGTGCCCAAACGATCCTTCAGCTGGTTGGCTAAGTCCCTGGATAAAATCTTATAACTGAAGCAGAGAAAGAAAATATGTTTACAATTCTGAAAAATCACAGAGATCTCCTTTTTTGTGCAGCAGGGTAATCACTGCACCAACAGCAGCAAAGGGGTGGCTCTTGCTCCTTGATACACTCCAACATCATTAGAAATAAGTCAGGACCAATAAGATGTCAGAAATGTTTCTAGTATCGGGGGTAGCCATGTTAGTCTGTATCCACAAAAACAACAAGGAGTCCGGTGGCACCTGTCAAGGTTCCTTCCCCACTCTGAACTCTAGGTACAGATGTGGGGACCTGCATGAAAACCCCCTAAGCTTATTTTTACCAGCTTAGGTTAAAACTTCCCCAAGGTACAAACTATTTTACCTTTTGCCCTTGGGACTTTATTGCTGCCACCACCAAGTGTCTAACAAATATATAACCGGGAAAGAGCCCGCTTGGAAAACGTCTTTCCCCCCAAAATCCTCCCCAAACCCTACACCCCCTTTCCTGGGGAAGGCTTGATAAAAATCCTCACCAATTTGCGTAGGTGAACCCAGACCCAAACCCTTGGATCTTAAGAACAATGAAAAAAGCAATCAGGTTCTTAAAAGAAGAATTTTAATTGAAGAAAAAAAGTAAAAGGATCACCTCTGTAAAATCAGGATGGTAAATACCTTACAGGGTAATCAGATTCAAAACACAGAATCCCTCTAGGCAAAACCTTAAGTTACAAAAAGACACAAAAACAGGAATATCCATTCCATTCAGCACAACTTATTTTATCAGCCATTTAAACAAAACAGAATCTAACACATATCTAGCTAGATTACTTACTAAGTTACTTACTTACTAGTTCTGCTGTTTCTCTTTGAAGTCCATTTCTGAAGTTTTTTTGTTCAAGTATAGCTACTTTTAAATCTGTTACAGAATGTCCAGGAAGATTGAAGTGTTCTCCTACTGGCTTTTGTATGTTACCGTTCCTGATGTCCAATTTGTGTCCATTTATTCTTTTATGTAGGGACTGTCTGGTTTGGCCAATGTACATGGCAGAGGGGCATTGCTGGCACATGATGGCACACGTAACATTAGTAGACATGCAGGTAAATGAGCCTCTGATGGTGTGGCTGATGTGGTTGGGGCCTCTGATGGTGTCACTAGAGTAGATATGGGGACAGAGTAGGCAACGAGGTTGCTACAGGGATTGGTTCCTGAGTTAGTGTTTCTGTGGTGTGGTGTGTAGTTGTGGGTGAGTATTGGTTTCAGGTTGTGGGGCTGTCTGTAAGTGAGGACTAGCCTGCCTCCCAAGGTCTGTGAGAGTGAGGGATCATTTTCCAGGATAGGTTGTAGATAGTTGATAATGTGCTAGAGAGGTTTTAGCTGGGGGCTGTATGTGATTGCCCCTGATGTTCTGTTATTTTCCTTGTTGGGCCTGTCCTACAGTAGGTGACTTCTGGGTACCCATCTCACTCTGTCAATCTGTTTCCTCACTTCCCCAGGTGGGTATTGTAGTTTTAAAAATGCTTGATAAAGATTTTGTAGGTGTGTGTCTCAGTCTGAGGGATTGGAGCAAATTTGGTTGTATCTTAGGCCTTGGCAGTAGACAATGGATCATGTGAGGTGTCCTGGATGGAAGCTGAAGGCATGGAGGTAAGTATAGCGGTCATTAGGGTTCCGGTATAGGGTGGTGTTTATGTGACCATCCCTTATTTGCATTGTAGTGTCCAGAAAGTGTCTCTCTTGTGTGGACTGGTCCAGGCTGAGGTTGATGGTGGGGTGGAAATTTTTGAAATCCAGGTGGAATTCTTCAAGGGCCTCCTTCTTGTGGGTCCATATGATGATGATGTCATCCACGTAGTGCAAGTAGAGGAGGGGGGCTAGGGAATGAGAGCTGAGGAAGTGTTGTTCTAAGTCAGCCATCAAAATGTTGGCATACTGTGGGGCCATGCGGGTACCCATAGCAGTGCCACTGACTTGAAGGTATAAGTTGTCCCCAAATCTGAAATGGGGGTGGGTGAGGACAAAGTCACAAAGCTCAGCCACCAGGTGTGCCGTGGCCTCATCTTATAGTCCATCCTCATGTGGAATATTGGTGTAAAGAGCTTCTACATCCATGGTGGCCAGGATGGTGTTTTCAGGAAGATCATCGATGGATTGTAGTTTTTTCAGGAACTTGGTGGTGTCTCGAAGATCACTGGGAGTGCTGGTAGCATAGGATCTGAGGAGAGTCCAAATAGTCAGATAATCCTGTTGTAAGAGTGCTGATGCCTGAGATGATGGGGCATCCAGGTTTATGGAATGTTTGTAGAATTCAGATGGCAGCCCATCAGTACAGGGGGCATTGCCCGTAGAGAGCTGCTGGACTGCAACAGAGCTCCTGTAATGACAGCATGGCATCTAGGCACCACTGCACATCACCAGTTAGACAGGGTAAGCCCTAGTGCAGCTCTGCCATTGCCAGCATATCACAGGATTCAGACAAATACACAGTACTGTCAAAAGGAAAGAGCTGCTTTCCAGATCTCAGCTAGCTCAGTCATCAAATAACCATTTGGCAGCTGGAGACAAGAGACCTGCTGACAGTCTGCAGTCTTCTTCTCCAACCCCACAAAAAACCTTGTGGGAGTATCAAGGCCATGCAGCTGGATACAAAGGGCCTGAACCAGGGCATCCTTCACCTTCTCTTCCAGCAAGCATCTCAGGAGTCAGTACTTCTCAGTTGAGTTTGGTGAGTCTGCACTGGGTTCCCCACATGAAGGTCCAAGATATCTCATGCCAGGGCATACATGGCCTGATGCAAGGACCATGTGGTAGCCTGGGTATACCACTGGCAAAACAGTTTGATCTAGACTTTCATGACACATCACCACTCTCTCAATGACTCATAAAGGGGCTTCTTCTGCCGCCAGCCCTCCCAAAGCACAGTGAATATCTGGGTGAAATTCAAGTCCTGTAACAATTTGGTATTAAAGTGCCAATGGGAAGAACAGACAGGAAGAAGGAGACACACACTGACAGACATAATGATGATCAGACAAGTGAGTGGGAGACATGGAGGACTGAACAAACGTATTCACGCTGGCCTTCATGGTATAAACGCGATCCAATCTAGCCCCTGAGATGTGGCTGGGAGTAGCTTTCAGCCAAAAGTACTGCCTAACAGTGGGTTGGAGAACTTCCAAACATCTACTAGCCCAAACGTCTATAGGAGACTATACAATTCCCTGGATGATTGAGGGTGTAGCTCCTCATGGTTCCTGTCTAAAACAAACATAAAACAGTGAAAATGAAATCCCCTTCCAAGTCAGGTCACAGTCAAACATGGCATGTGCAAGTGTTTGCAAAAAGGAGACACTGTCTTGCTGCAGTGTGGGTGTATACACAGTAAAAAGATTAAAAACAGTGCCAACATGCGTCTCCGCTTTGAGGAGCTGGCCCTGCACAATCTCCTTCACAGAGAGGATCTGTGTCCCCACACCCTGGTAAAAGGAACAGCGACGCCAGCAATGACATTGGAGCCATGGCTCAAGAAAGCTTCCCCTTCTTATTCCTTCAGTTCTCCTGATTATCGGGGTCTGAGCACGTCTCTTGCAAAAGGACATCAGCCCATTTTTGTCTGAGAAATTGAAAGAGTTGTGCCCTTTTATGACCATCCCAGCATCCATTAATATTTGCAGAGCCAAAAGTTGAGCAGCACCACAGAGACTAGAAGGAGAGCGCCAAGGAGCAGAGAAACAACGGAAAGCAGAAGTACTTGAGGAAAAAAAAAAAAAAAAAAGAGAGCCAATGGGAGGCATGCTTCCTCAAAATACTCAGCAACTTTTTGAGATGGAAATGTTTCCCATGATCACCCAAGGTATCACTTAACACAAGAGTAGCTGAGTGAACAAGTGCTGTAAGTCAGGAAAACAGGCCTTGACCTCAACTCCCCACTTCCCTTTAGTACTATACAAGAAGTCACTAATCTTCTGCACACTGTAGTCACCCTTCCTATCTAGTGATGGGCTGGGATATCAGGAATCAGTGAGGAGTCAGAGAGAGATCATCATCATCCACTCCACCTCTCTCAGACTCTGCCAGCTTAGGAGAACATTGAACTGCTTTGTGAAAAATGAGAATGTTACACAAGAAGAGAGATTCAATGGAAGAAGCTGGCATATCTATTTTCCCAACAGTGATAGGCAGCACAGCCCCAGGCTGGGACCTGTTGTCATCACTATAGCATGCAGGATGGGGGCTTGAGGGCTCACCATGCCAGGGGAAGGCAGCACCCCACTGGGAGCTCTAGTCATGGATCCACCACCCACAGCAAAGCAATTCTTCTTAGGGCACACAGCTTCATCCTGAGCCACGGCCAGAAGCTCAGGGGCCTCCAAATTCCTAGCCCTTTTACAAATAGTCCCGCATAAATCTATTTTATTGATCTGTTCTTCACCCGCATCTCTATAATGTGTGACTGCTTGCTCTGTAAGGAGAAGCGCCACAACTTCCAGGCTATCTTCTGTCCAGGCATAAGTGATAGAGTCATAACAGAGGGTTTCTCTGGGAAGTGCTGCTCCTTGGACAATGGCAGACCACATGGGCAGAGGGAATAGTCTGGCCATGCAGATGCAGGCTCTGTCTCCTGCTGGTCCCTTGGTGTCCCAACCCCTCAACACTATCCTGGGGTCCCATATTCTCACCAGGGAATCCAGAGCCAGTTGTACATGAGCAGTAACCCCTCAATTGACCAGGGTCACCACACAAGAAACATTTCAGCTTTTCAGAGATAGCAAACACTATATACTCGACCCCATCTATATGCACCTTTAAAAACAGGTTGAAGAGCTGTTCAGGTTATTTAAGCCTGGGGCTGGAATGACATAACATGTTTCACATTTGGGTTCTTGCAATCCAACAGAATAATCCTAACAGCAGAAACAATGAGAGAGAGATCAGATACTAGGGTCTCATTGTGAATGAAGGGGGAAGGGGCGCATTGGAAAAAAAAAAACTATTTTAGTAGCAGGAATAAATAAGGAAAACACTGGAACAAAAGATTCCTTGACCCAAAATCCCTCCTGTACGAAATGATTCACAAACTGCTGTTGGTCAGGAAAATCACTTCAAATTTTATATTAACAGGGAGTCTGGTGGCACCAGATTTTATATTAACACAGCCAATAGTCTTACCTACACACAGCAAACTCCACAGTGTAGGAGACAGCAGGTACACACTGAACCCCATGCTCGGGGGTCAAGCCACTAAACCCATCTGAAGTTGACCCCCATGGAGAACCCCCCCCTCCAAAGAAAAAAAGGGTGGGAACACAACAGCCCTAAAACAAAGGGACAGCAACAAACAAAAAACACACAAAGACTAACAGAAAACCAGCTAGTGCACATAGCACATACCAAACACAGTCTCACGCTCAGAAACTTCCATAACCCCAAGAGAGATAATCAGTAGTTTTTGTGGAGAAGGAGGGAACAGCTAGCCTGGCTGCAGAAAGAGTGGGAGAAGCACAGACAGGTGAGCCTTACACAGGCCCACAGAATTCCCCTTCACAAGAACAGGAGACCCTGCTTGCTAAGCCACTTCCCAAACAGAGAAGAAAGGAACCAGGGCCTGCTGCAGGACATACCTAAAACCTGGCCTCAGCTACCAAGAGCCAGCTGACAAAGAGACCATCAGCAGCTGAGACCATCAGACAACAGTACCCCCATCTGGGCTGATTAGAACAAACGGAGTTATCAGGAGACTGTTGTTGCTTCAGTAATTAGATAGTGTAACACAATATTCAACTGCTATTTTTTTTTTTTTAACTCCAGCTCCCTCAAATAAAAATAGTTGTCTAGACTTTAAATAGACTTTAAAGCAGGAGCATAGTGTGTTTTATTCAGGTTCATAATTGTTTCTTTGCATCTTCTGCCCAGGGATAAGAATTCATAGATATTAAGGTCAGAAGGGACCATTATGATCATCTAGTCTGACCTCCTGCACAACGTAGGCCACAGAATCTCATCCACCCACTCCTGCGAGAAACCTCTCACCTATGTCTGAGCTATTGAAGTCCTCAAATCGTGGTTTAAAGACTTCAAGGAGCAGAGAATCCTCCAGCAAGTGAGCCGTGCCCCATGCTACAGAGGAAGGCGAAAAACCTCCAGGGCCTCTTCCAATCTGCCCTGGAGGAAAATTCCTTCCCGACCCCAAATATGGCAATCAGCTGAACCCTGAGCATATGGGCAAGATTCACTAGCCAGATACCCAGGAAAGAAAAGAATTGATTCCTTTTGGGATAACCACCTTTGATCTTAAAACTTCAGGATGGTGAATCTACTTTTCCCAAGAGGAATAAAAACAGAACTGATTCAAGGAGTCAGCTCCTGATCGGAGACCTCTAAATGTAGCAGATCCAAGTAATTGTGAATGTGGCATTTATTTATTTATTTATTTAGGAGTCTGGGACTTTTACCCTCTCTTTTTGTGGAAAGACTTATAGATAGCGACACTGAAAATTGTGCCCATGTAGATCAGAAGCCATGAAGAAAGAAGTTAGCTATGTGATTGTTTAGTTCCTAGGCTCAACAAACAGCAGTGTCTGAGTGGAAGTGTCAGGGCTCTGGTTGGCCTGCCATCAGAGTACACTAGTATAGTTGTCTCTGTCAGTGGCTGCCAATACTACTATCATTTTGGTAAATAACATGGGAGCAAAGGTCAAACAGCAAGGTAGATTAAAGGTCCTAATGACAGGATTAGAAACCTATGACAACAATGGGCAAATACATATGGGTATTTTGCAGGTCCTCTGAAGCAATGAAGTTCCCAGAGTTAACTGCCAACGTTACTGACATGGAGGACTCCATTTTGAAATGCTACTTCTATATTCCTGACTTGACAAGCTTCACTTCCAAAACCTGATGTAGGTTTTGCTTGAACTTGTGCGAATAAGAGAAAGAACTGGAGGAGAGTTATGGAAGTGGGATAAACAGCAGAACAATGCCAAATGTAAAAGTTTTAACAGATTTTGCTACTTGTCAATCTAACCAAAGAGACAGAGAATACTTAAATAGCATTCAAGCATCCAGAGTGATGTATCTATACTTACAAAAGGCAGGAATGGTAGCTAGTTTCAATGTTAGTACTATTAGTGGAAAGTATGCATACTAAAGCCTTGATCCAGCAAAACGCTTAAAGCATGTGCTTAACTTTAAGCATGTGGATAATTCATTGAAGTCCAAGAACCACTCACATGCTTAAAGTTAAGCATGTACTTAAGTGCTTTGTTGGATCAGAGCCCATGAGATCTGATTGACAAACTGCATACCAGACAAAATGAATGCTTAATGCTCCGAACTTTTATAAGAGAAGTAGTTAATTGTATTTTGCTTCTTGTCAAACTGCTGCATTGCATTTAAAATATATTTGTAGCACAGTCCATACTCACCAGTATGGCACCTCCTGCTGGTTGTCTTGGGAATTAGCTCTTGTCCAGCCCAGAGCACCCTCTGCAGGCCCCCGGCTCACCTGCCTCAGGCCCCCAGCTCCCTCCCGGACCCCGGTGCCCCTTTTACATCAGAGTGCTGCTGGGGCAGAACCCCCACATGCTGGGTCTCCCCTCCCAGTGGAGCCCCCAACCCTCTAAACCCACCTTGCCTCAGTGGCTACTGCCAGTCATCATCTAGCCTCTGCTCACTGGGGCAGACTGCAGTCTGTAATGACCACTCATCATTGGAAAGGGGTTAGGACCTGCTGTCTTTGCCTATTTCCAGGCTGTATTTCTGAAGCTCCAATACCTCTGTAGGCCTTCAACAAGGCCTGCAGCCTGGGGTTTTACCAGGCTGGAGTGCCTCAGCTCCTCTTGCCCTTCCCTAGCACTGTTCTACTTCAGGTATCTTGCTCCCAGGCAGCTAGCCCTTCCCTCTCCAGGGCTGGAGAGAGATGCCTCCAGCCCTCTTATAAGGGCCAGCTGGGCCCTGATTGAGCTGATCAAGCTTCCCCAATCAGCCTAGCTTGGCTGCTTTTAACTCCTTTTGGGTCCCCAGGGATGTTTTAACCCCTTCAGGGCCAGAGCACACAGTGACCACCCTGCTACAATATTATTTCCTGTTTCATAACAAACAATAATAATTTAATTGAAGTTCTTATAAAGCCCTACTTAGTTTTTATGTAAACATTCTCAGGGCAGCGTGAACGGAATTGAAGGAACAGGATTCCTATCAGTCTGTTTTCCCATAAAATTATGAAGTATATTATTTTTCCTAAAAAATGTCATACTTACCATCTTCATACAAAGAGCACATTTCTGTTCCGGTTGGAATTTTTACAATATTAAGATCTGTTTCTTCCATCTCTGCAGTAGACTGGGAAGGTATCTGGGGCTAGTATGGAACATTTTTTCATTAAGACTGATTAAAAGTTATTGGTTGATTAAATAACAAGAAACTTGTTAAGTTACATTTAAGGTTATTGTGTGAAATTCAAGCAAAGACATAAAAGCATCTGTAAAACCATCAAATACTATAAAAAGTGGAAATCGGAAGTCACATAAACAATTCTGACACCAGCCAGGTCTCACAGTTTCTTTGTATTTCCTTGTTTGTGTAGATCAACCTGCTGTGTCTTGTTTTATACTTAGATTGTAAGCTATTTGGTGTAGGGACCATCTTTTTGTTCTGTGTATGTACAGCACCTAGCACACTGGGGGTCTTGGTCTATGACTACAGTTTCTAGGCTCTATAATAACTACAACATGTTGCAAACAAATACTGAAATATTCTCAATGAGCAGCATTTAAATAACCATAACTCTGTCCTAGTTTTTGTGTTACCATTTTTTGGCCTGATTCAACTTCCACAGAAATAGTGTTAATACTTCTTTTGATTTTTTTAGAAGGGGAATGGTCTCTTACAGACCTTTTTAACATTTGTGACAGGGTCAGGCCAGATGGTTACAAGAGAGTGCTGGAAGGCAGGTATATTAGCCCCAGGATAAGCAGGGAGGAACCCTGCTCAGGCAAGGTATGGACAGCAAGCCCAGGAGCATGGGGGAATTCTGAGGTTGAGAGGAATACCCTGGCCCACTGCTATGTGGAAGCACAGAACCCTCCAAGGCAGAGAAAGAGCTCTGTCACAACTGGTGTCAGTGGTGGGATTGTGTGACTGTGCAGCAGACTAAGCCAAAAAAAGAGAAAAAGGGGATTTTCTTGTCCTCACCACAATGGACAATGTGGTGAGGGCACTAGTACAGGCCACAGTGACCCAGCAGGAGGTCACCTAATCCCAGACGACAGCCCAGCAGGAATCGATGGGGTTGCAGCACAAGACCAACCAATTGTTGACGAATCAGGCTGCCCAGGACTGAGCCCTCCAGTGAGAGTTGATGGACCAGCTGAAAGCCCTGACCACCATAGCCCATGGGCCCAACGGGATGCGAGCCCACAAGGCCACCACTTACCTACCAAAGATGACTGCGGAAGACTATGTGGAAGCGTACCTCCTTACCTTTGAAAGGACTGCATTGTGTAAGGCCTGGCCCAAGGACCAGGCTGACATCCTCACCTCCTTTTCGTGTGGGGAGGCCCAGAAGGCTTACCATGATATGCCTGTAAAAGTGGCGTCTGACTACCCCCAATTGAAAGCGGAGATCCTGGCCCATTCGGGGGTGATGGCAGCGGTGCAGGCCCAGAGGTATTACAAGTGGAGGTACCAACAGACCAAGCCTCCAAGGTCCCAACTATTTGACCTCACCCACCTTGCACGGAAGTGGCTGCAACCCAAGGCCAATAGTCCCGAGGAGATTCTGGTCATAGACCAGTACATGAGGGGACTGCCACCAGACCTTCATGCAAGGGTGGGCCAGAATGACCCCTCCTCCTATGATGAGGTGGTTGCACTAGTGGAGAGATGGATAATGGCCAGGGAACTTTCACGACCACCTAGGGAAGATTCATTCTGAATCAAACTATCGCCCCGATCCCAGGAATTCGGACGACCCAGCACCTGGGAAGGTCTAGGTGGGAGAAGAGGGGAGCAGAGGACCAGCCAGGGGCCATGAAGGGATGGAGTGACCTGGGCAAAGAGGACTGTGGGGCCAGTCCCCCTAGCCCAAAGGACAGGGGGTGACTAGGGCCATGTATAGATGTTATGCATGCAGAGAGTTGGGGCACATAGCAGCCCGGTGTCCCAAAGCTGAGGAGCCCATGCAGTGTAACCTGGGGAACTGGGAAGACAAGCTAATCCACACATCGGCCTTGTATATTTATGTGGCATTACCGCAATCTTTGTGGGGATTGCGGTAATGCCACATAAATATACAAGGCCGATGAAACTGAATGGGATAGAGACCATGGCGCTTGTGGACTCCGGGAGCGCTAACCTCCTCATCTCAGGGAAGCTAGTGAAATGCAGTCAGCTGATGCAGGCCAAATGTACAGGGGTAACATGTGTCCATGGGGCGGTTAGTTATTACCCCACCATCCCGGTAAAGATTGAGATCCAGGGGAACATTACCGGGGTTCCCATACCTTAAACTCCCATACTCTACTCACGGAGAGATTTCCCAGGGTTTGGAAGCTTGCTCCCACCAGAGGGGTTGGAGGAAGGAGAGCATCCTTAAGTTAATGAGTCATCCACAGCAGAATGCCACCCCCTGATTTTCTCTGACATATCTCAGGATCTGTTCCCCATTCCCAGGAGGGTCAGGAATTCCAAACAGGGAGGAAGGGAGGGCAGCTAAGGCATTGGGAACCTGGATTCTGATCCAGGGCCAGAAGGCCGCACTCATAGGCATGCAGACATGGGCAGCGGATATGGAGTCCGCTCCAGCGGGAAAGGGACCCGAGGCTGGTCCCAACCATGACGCCACCAAGATGACAGAGGGGGCAGAGCCAGGCCCCCTGGAGCTCAGGCAGGTTAGTTCTGATAGAGAGAATTTTGGGCTTGACTAGGCAGAAGACCTAAGATATGATATCATCAGGAAGGAGGTGGCTAAGATAGATGGGATATCCATAGACAAAAAGGCCCGGGGACCAGGACCCTACTTCATGATCAAGAAGGATCTCCTGTACCGAGTCATACAGATGCAGGGGCAGGAAGTACATCAGCTCCTGGTGCCATGAAACCATCTGAGGGTGGTGTTAATCCTTGCCCAAAGTCACCTTTTTGGAGGGCACCTAGGGGCAGAGAAGACCCTGACACGATTCCTACGAAGGTTCTTCTGGACAGGAATACACGAAGAAGTCCAGCAGTATTGCGCTTCTTGCCCTGAGTGTCAGCAACACAGTCCCCGCCCCCACTTGAGGGCACCTTTAGTGCCTCTGCCAATCATAGAGGTCCTGTTTGAGCGGAAAGCCATGGACTTGGTGGGCCCCCTGAAGAAGACGACCTGAGGCCACCAGCATGTGCTTGTCATCCTGGATTATGCCACCCAGTACCCGAAAGCCATTCCCCATGGAACACGGCCTCCAAGTCGATAGCAAAGGAGCTAGTGAAGATCTTTGCCCTTGTAGGGGTACCAAAGGAGATACTGGCCGACCAAGGGACCCCTTTCATGTCAAAATTGATGAAGGACCTATGTGCTCTACTCCATGTCTACTACCTGCACACTGATGGTCTCGTGGTAAGGTTCAACATGACCCTCAAGGCCATGATAAGGAAGGTGGTAAGTCAGGATGAAAAAGATTGGGACACACTATTGCCTTATCTCATGTTTGCCATCCAGGAAGTTCCTCAGGCTTCCACTGGGTTTTCCCCCTTCGAGCTATTATACGGACGCCACCCCGTGGCGTATTAGACGTAGCCAGGGAGATCTGGGAGGAAGAACCCAACGCGGCAAGAAACATAACTGAGCATGTGCTACAAATGAGAGACCGGATAGCCTGAGTCACTCCCATCATATGGGAGCACTTGGAGAAAGCACAGGAGGCCCAATGAGACCACTACAACCTCCAAGCAAAGGTTTGACGGTTCCAACCTGGAGACTGGGTGAAGGTATTGGTACCCACGGCAGAGAGTAAGCTTTTGGCCCAGTGGCAAGGGCCCTACCAAGTGGTCAGACCTGTGGGAGAGGTGAACTACAAGGTGTGACAGCTGGGATGCCTAAAACAAGAGTAGGTCTACCATGTCAACCTCCTGAAGTCTTGGCATGCCCGAGAGACATGTGTAGTCACCCAAGACACCTGGCCCCAGGAAAGCAGCCACCCCGAGCAGGTGAGGATATCCCCAGAGTTGACGCCAGATCAAAAGACCGAGGCATCCAAGATGGTCAACTGGAACCAGGATGCATTCTCAATGAGACCAGGCTGGATGACCGAGGCATATCACCACATCCTCACAAACCCCGGGGAAAAGGTGACGATACGGGTCCTAGTGGCCAAAAGGGAGGATGTCAAGGCCAAAGTGAAGAGAATGTTGGAATTAGGAGTCATCGGGGAATCTCACAGTCAGTGGTCCAGCCTGATCATGCTGGTGCCCAAACTCGACGGCACCACAAGGTTCTGCAATGACTTTTGCCAGCTGAAAGAGGTATCCCAGTTTGATGCATACCTTATACCCTGCATAGACGTGTTAGTTGACCGATTGGGCAACGTCAGGTTCCTGACCACCCTGGATTTGACAAAGGGGTATTGGCAGATTCCTCTAGCCCAGGGATCAGCAACCTTTGGCACGTGGCCTGTAGCGTCCACAGGTTCGGCCGATTGCAGCTCCCACTGGCTGCGGTTCGCTGTTCCAGGCCAATGGGGGCTGCGGGAAGTGGCGCGGGCCAAGAATTACCTGGACTACGTGATTATCCATGCCTCAGACTAGGAGACCCACCTGGAAAAGGTAGAAGCGGAGCTGAATACCCTAAGGCGTGCTGGTCTCACAGCCAATCCTGCCCATTGTGCCATAGGGCTAGTGGAGGCTAAATACCTAGGATACATTGTAGGGAGAGGCATGGTAAAGCCCCAACTAAATAAGCTGGAAGCAATCCAAAATTGGCCCCAGCCAAACCAGAAAAAAAAAATCTGAGCATTCCTGACTTAGTAGTGGGGTACTACCGGTGATTTATCCCCCACTTCGCCACGAAGGCAAGTTCCCTGAAGGACCTGACAAGGCCCGGGGACCTGACATGGTGAGATGGACCGATGTGGCAGAGGGGGCATTCACAGACCTGCGGACAGCCTACTGCAGCAACTCTGTACTCATAGCCCCAGACTTTAGTAAAGAATTCATTTTACAGATAGAGGCATACAAAGTGGGGTTGTGGGCTGTCCTGTCACAGATGGTCAGAGAAGACAAACACCCAATCCTTTACCTTAGCAGAAAACTCCTTCTGAGGGAACAGAAATATGCAGCAGTAGAGATGGAGTGCCTCACCATTAAGTGGGCCATGGAAACTCTACAATATTACCTGCTAGGCCGGCGATTTGTCCTCATGACCGACCATGCCCCCCTCCAGTGGATGCAACAGAACAAAAAGAAGATGGTTCTTGTCCCTCCAACACACAGCCGGAAGCCGCCATGGCGATGCGGATGGCTTGTCCTGGGTATACTGTCTAGCGCCCCAAGTTGCCCAACCCCATGGTGCTGAGCAGGGGGGAGGGATATGTGACAGGGTCAGGCCAGATGGCTACAGGAGAGCGCTGGAAGGCAGGTATATTAGCCCCTGGATAAGCAGATCCCTTTTCCCTTGGTAACTGAACAGAGGTTGCTCTAGGTTAATTAGGACACCTGGGGCCAATCAAGGGTCTGCCAGAACCTGTTAAAAGCCTCCCCTCCAGCCAGATAGGGGTGTGTGATAGGAGTTGTGGGAGGAAAGCTTGCTACTAGAGAACTGGGTGATGCAGATGCTGACAAACACCAGGGGGGAAAACTCCACAGGTACAGAGGCGAAGGGCAAGGGAAACCCTACCCAATAGGGTGAACAGCCCTTCTGGGCTGTGGAGGTCTGAGGGAAGAGACTGAACTAGGTGTCTGGTTTGTTGCCACCATGCCCGGAGGGGCTACCAGAGACTAAGAGGCTCCCCTCTGCCTCCCCTGTCAGGGAGGAACCCTGCTCAGGCAAGGCATGGACAACAAGCTTAGGGGTGTGGGAAAATTCTGAGGTAGAGGGGAATACCCTGGCCCACCGCTAAGTGGAAGCGCAGAACCCACTGAGGCAGAGAAGGAGCTCTGTCACACATTATAAATAAAAAATTGAGTATTTTGTGTATATTCTTCTATAGTAACAAGTGTGGTGGCTTACTATCACATTAACAGGTTTTTTTTAAAGGTAATAGGGAAAGTTTTATTATCTGGTTTAAGGATTATGTTTCGTCTATTCAGTACCTTACTCTCTAATTACAGTTGTCTAATTAGGGGTATAGTGAACTATTTTTCTCAGTAAGAAAAGACTGCTATTTGACATACCTATATACTAAGTCATTGAATACCTAGTAAGTCATTTAATACCTATTTGCTATTTGAGATACAGTACCTATACACTGTTATTTAAATTTTCGTATACAGTTTTGAGAGAGCTACATGATAAAGGGATAAGGTTCATTAAGAGTTTGTTGCTGTTGCTAATGTCTTGTTAAAAGGGTAGAGCTAAGGTTGTTTAGATGCCTGCCATTGAGAATCATTCTTTTAAAATTTTTGGTCTGTATTAACTGAATGTTAAGATGGAAGACTAGAACTGTTTTTGTAACCTTATTATGTCTTTTCTTGAATTACGCATAGCAATCTTAACAGTAAATTATTTGTTATTCAATTTTCTAATTTTAAAAAAGGACATACAAATTTTATTGTTAAATGTTATTCAATTTAGTGTTGGCCTTAGATATTCTATAGATCTTCTATCATAAATTATTATTCAATATAGACCGTTTGTCTAAGTTCTGAAAAAGTAAAAGTTAATGTAAATTACAACATTCACAACTACATGTTAAAATGTACACATGTATAGTGAATTTTCTGATATATGCAATAAACAATTGTCAGATATAAGTGGTCAAAAGAATCACTAGAATTTTTTTCATTGTGAAAATCACAGATTTTTTGCTGACTCCTTGCTATGTAAAAATTTTACTTTTCAAAATTGTCAGAAAATTCTACTATACACTTGTAGTATTCACAAAAAATTTTTAAACAGTTACATTTAATGAAAAAAGAAGTTACATACCAATGGTGAAAAAGGTAAATATAAAGCACCCCTTCGTTCATTTATTTGGCTTGCACCAGTTTCAATATAGAGAGGAACAGCAAGCTGTAAAACAACAAAAACATGTTAAGCATATTTCAAGAAAACATAACTTAAGACCATGTATGCTCACAAACAACGAAGCTTCAATAATAAAATACTGAAATAGCATGCAATGTTTTGTTCATCTGACTAAATGGGGAGGTTGCATACAGTAATGACACACAAAAGCCAGTTCAAATATTGCTAAAGTAAAAAAACAGCTCTTTTACATGTAGAATCGAATATGTTCACAGCTGGACTTTGTATGTGACCTTATGCAATAAACAATATGTATCAGTACAAAAACACAATATATGTGCAAACTATTATAATTGAATTTTTAATTGCATCAATGTCAAGAAGTTGAACATTTGGTTTGCACTAGGGCTGTTGATTAATCACAGTTAGCTCATGCGATTAACTAAAAAAATTAATTGCGATTAAAAAAATTCATCATGATTAATCACACTGTTAAACAATAGAATCTCAGTTGAAATTTATTAAATATTTTTGGATGTTTTTCTACATTTTAAAATATATTGACTTCAATTACAACACAGAATACAAAGTGTACAGTGCTCATTTTATATTATATTTATTACAAATATTTGCACTGTAAAAACGACAAAAGAAATAGTATTTTTCAATTCACCTTATGTAAGTATTGTAGTGCAATCTCTCTGTCGTGAAAGTGCAATTTACAAATGTAGATTATTTTGTTGTTACGTAACTGCACTCAAAAACAAAATGTAAAACTTTAGAGCCTACGAGCACAGCTGCCAACTTTTGTGTGTTAAATAAGCACCCTGACTTTCACAATAAGCCAGAAATCAAGCTAATCCCATTTAAAAAGAAGGCCAAAACAAGCCAATCCCTAAGAACCCCAACACTCTATGAGACTAGATCCCCCTGGCATGCAGTCTGGGACTGTGGTGGGCCCGCTGTGCACCCCGACTCTCTCCCCCACTTGCCCCTGCTTCCCGGGAACCGATCCAAAAAAAAAATTTAAAAAAAAGCAGCAACAAGCTACAAGCCAAAAAGCAACTCACAAGCCAATTAAGCCAAAAACAAGCCCATTTTCTGTGGGTTCCCCCCCCCATGAGTTTGGCATGTCTGCCTACAAGTCCTCTCAGTCCTACTTCTTGTTCAGCCAACTGCCAAGACAAACAAGTTTGTTTACATTTATGGGAGAAATTACTGCCTGCTTTTTATTTACAATGTCACCTGAAAGTGAGAACAGATGTTCACTTGGGATTTTTGTACCCAGCATTGCAAGGTATTTACGTGCCAGATATGCTAAACATTTGTATGCCCCTTCATTCTTCAGCCACCATTCCAGAGGACATACTTCCATGCTGATGATGCTCATTAAAAAAATAATGCATTAATTAAATTTGTGACTGAACTCCTTGGGGGGAGGATTGTATGTCTCCTGTTCTGTTTTACCCACATTCTGCCATATATTTCACGGTATAGCAGTCTCAGATGATGATCCAGGACATGCTGTTCATTTTAAGAACACTCTCACTTCAGGTCTGACAAAATGCAAAGAAGGTACCAATATGAGATTTCTAAAGATAGAACCAGCACTCTACCCAAGGTATAAGAATTTGAAGTGCCTTCCAAAATCTGAGAGGGACAAGGAATGGAGCTTGCTTTCAGATGTCTTAAAAGAGCAACACTCCGATGTGGAAACTACATCACCTGAGCCACCAAAAAAGAAAATTAATCTTCTGCTGGTGGCATCTGACTCAGATGATGAAAATGAACATGCATTGGTCAGCACTGTTTTGGATCGTTTTCGAGCGGAACCCATCATCATCATGGACACATCCTCTGGAATGGTGGTTGAAGGATGAAGGGACATAAGAATCTTTAGCACATCTGGCACATAAATATCTTGCAATACTGGTGCCATGCGAATGCTTGTTCTCACTTTCAGTTGACATAAACAAGAAGCAGGCAACATTATCTCCTGAAAATGTAAACAGATTTGTTTGTAATTGGCTGAACATGAAGTAGGACTGAGTGGCTTTAAAGTTTTACACTGTTTTATTTTTGAATGAAGTTTTTTGGTATATAATTCTACATTTGTAAATTCAAATTTCATGATAAAGAGATTGCACTACAGTACTTGTAATGGGGGAATTGAAAAATACGATTTATTTTGTTTTTTACAGTGCAAATATTTGTATTAAAAATAAATCTAATGAACATTTTGTATTCTGTGTTGTAACTGAAATCAATATATTTGAAAATGTAGAAAAAAAATCAAAAAAATATTTAAATAGATGATATTCTATTATTGTTTAACAGTGTGATTAATTGAGATTAATTTTTTTAATCGCTTGACAGCCCTAGTTTTCACAGCAACTGTAACTCATCTACTCTGCATGTTCGCATTAAGGTTCTTATTCAGCAAAGCACTTAATCTTCTAATTCCATCCCCACTCTGCAAAGCATTTTATAACTATCATGGAAAGTGGCTAGGGGTGGGGAGGAGACAGCCAACCTAATTGGTGGCAAGTTCTGGTGACCAATGCAGGTACTCGCTCTTGTTAGGGGGCTTATTCCTTCACCCACTTAATTCCCTGGTCCTTCTCGCATGAACAGAGAGCAACAATACCTGAAGTCCAAAGGTGCAAACAATTCAATGTTTATTGGGGTGAACTTCCAGCAAGCATGATTCCAGTTTCCTTCCTTAGTGTCCCCCTTCCCAGCTCTGACCCCACAGAGCCTTACACCTGTGTCCCTGTTCCCATTTCCCCCTTTAGCAAAACATGATTCCAATTTCCCCACCCTCATTCCCTGTTCCCATTTCCCCCCCACACACACCCACCCACTTCCTGATTGACTGCAGACTTATATAGTAAAACTTGAGTTCTGCTTAGCTATACCTTAACCAATCATTTTCCTAAAATTTAACTAACCAATCCTAACATGATTATGTAACCAATTATATCCCACCACCTTAATTTGTTTACACCCAGCAAAATTAATTATACAGCAGACAGAAACAATCACAGAACCAGACAGAGATTATACAGACAAACAATGGGGAAATGGGGACTACAGTGATAGAACAAACACAGAAATTGATAAGTGAGTTCTTGCCAGACAGGATGTTATCAAACTAAATTTCCTTTTACATCTTCAAGGCACTTCCCTTTCTTTGGAGGCGATAGGCATTATCAGGACAGGATTGTATTCTTAACAGCCCAATAAAAATTATTTCACCTTATTTCAATGTGACTAGTTTGGAATGTGAGGATGTGACCGGTCACTTCCCAGCTTATGGCTGCCTCTGCTGCTTAGCCAAAGGCCTTAGCCTAAGAACAGGGCCTCAGACTGTCACAGTAAGAGAAGGACCTTACACTGGCAGACAGTGATTTTGATTCTTTCTTTTATACCTCTAACTAGCCAAGTGATAAGAATACACCTAAATTCTTAGCGTATAGGCCTTTACAGACAGGCCTGTATATCTATATCCTAACAGCTCTATAGGGGGTTTGGTTCCCTGATAAAACATAATTGGAAGTGGACTTAGGAAAAGGCATCTCCTGAAGAAGCTGGGGAATGGGGTAGGAGCTTCCAACGTCTGATATAACAAGGAGACAACCCCCTTTACACAGCACCTTAGCCCTCATATGAGTTAAGGTCAGTGGGGTCCCAGCAATGGGGTGAGAATCAGGTGTGGAGGGGTGGGGTGGGGTGGTGGGGCTGATGGCAGTCTTCAAACAGGTGGAAATCATTAAGGAAAGAATGATGACTTCACTGTATGACCTATTGCCAGATAGTTCCCATATGAATTAAATAATTACAGTTGTGGCCTAATTATCCACATCCCTTGCATCTTGTCTTTCTCCCTGCATGTCCAGGACAATGCATGTATGCATTAAGGTTCTGATTCAGCAAAGCAATTAAGAATGTGAATAATTCCATCCCTATTCTGTAAAGCACTTAAGTACGTGTTTAGATTTAAGTGTGCGAGTAGTTCCACTAATGGAAATTCTCCCTTGCATGTACAGATATGTAACAGCTATATCATTGCCTGACTGACCTCAGCAGGGTTGATTTTACTATCTTTATGTTTGAACTATAATGTAGGGAAATATACAGACATTTTCTGACTTTATCCATTTCCTTTGAGTTGATAGTGACTATAGAAGTACTTCCCCATCCATTAGGATGGACAGCTGTAGTTAAAATGAGTCTGGCTCCAACAGAGGCATTCCTTGATGTATTCTTTGAATTTATTCACCAACTGAAGGATTTTCAAACTTATAGTGCCAAGTACTGTTGTCTGAGTGTTAAGACTTCTAGTTCTATTGGGAAAGTCCACTGGAGATGAGAGCTATGGCTGATTACAGATCTGACCAAGCTGAATGACCAGGTCATCAGACTCATCCCCTTTACATTGCCAGAGCAGCACAAATTGGACAGAGCATACACACAACTTTTTGTGAAGGAAATAAATGTTTTTCCCTTTGTATACGTTCAGTTGCCAAGCAATAAGTGAATTTTAAACAATAAACCTTCCATTTCTATTTTGCCAAGCACTTTCTCTTAGGTCCTTCTTTGAATAGTGTGCATGTGTGTGTCACATTCCTTAGGGCTACATTGTAAGAACACAGTCTGTCCCAAGTAAGGGACAGCACGTAGTTGCATTGCCTCAGGAGCAGATTAGGGAATAAACTGTGACTCAGAGTCACAATTCAATCCCTCATTCCAGAGAGGAAGCAATTTGTGCCAGGTCTTTCCCTGATGCAGATTATTATTTCCTCTTTGAGCCAGCTCAACTCAGCTGGGTTGGCTAATGTTTTGGGGGAGGAGGGAGAGCAAGAGACAAAACTTGTCTAATTCCCCACTGCTACCCACCGACTCCCCATCTACATGTATGGGAGAGAAATTAGTGGCCCTTTGGAATCACAATGTGACCCACAATGGGAATAGCCCACACATGGGAATAACAATCTTACAGACCCTTACTCTCCAATGGTGGGGTATAATAAACAAGCTGTGATCTTGCTTTCAGTCTCCAGATCAACTCTTGAGTATTTCATAATGATATTGGTTGTGGTACATAAGCCATTGTGGTGATTTGGCATACCCTGCACCCCAGCAAAGGTGATCTCATTTTCATCCACAACATGCACATACAAATTAGGTACACAGAACTGTGTGCATGCAATAAAACCGTATTTGAAAATCTGCTTCAATCATTAGAACATAAGAATGACCATGTTGGGTCAGACCAATGGTCCATCTACCCCAGTATCCTGTCTTCCAACAGTGGATAGTACCAGATGCTTCAGAGGGAATGACCAGGACACGGCAATTATCAAGTGATCCATCCCGTTGTTCAGTCCCACCTTCTGGCAGTCAGACATTTAGGGACACCCAGAGCATAGGACTGCATCCCTGACCATCTTGGCTAATGGTCAGTGATGGACCTATTATCCATGAACTTATCTAATTCTGTTTTGTACTCAGATACACTTTTGGCCTTCACAACATCACCTGGCAATGAGTTCCACTGGTTGTGCGTTGTGTGAAGAAGTACTTCCTTATGCTTGTTTTAGACCTGCTGCCTATTAATTTCATTGGCTGACCAGTAGTTCATGTGTTATGTGGAGGCGTAAATAACGCTCTTATTCACTTTCTCACACCATTCATGATTTTATAGCCCTCTATCATATTCCCCTTACTCATCTCTTTTTTAAGATAATAGTCCCAGTCTTTTTAATCTTTCCTCATATGGATACTGTTCCTTACCCCTAATCATTATTGTTGCCATTCTGTTTTTGTTTCCTGTTCTAAGATATTGTTTTTGAGATGGGGCAACCAGAACTGCATGCAGTATTCAAGGCATGGGCATACCATGGATTTATATAGTGGCATTAGGATATTTTCTGGCTTATCTATTCCTTTCCTAATGGTTCCTAACATTTTGTTAGTTTTTTTGATTGCCACTACACTCTGAGCAGATGTTTTCAGAGATTATCCATGATGACTTCAAGATCTTTATTTTGAGTGGTAACAGCTAATTTAGACCCCATCATTTTGTATGAATAGTTCAGATTCTTTTTTGCAATATGCATTACTTTGCATTTATCAACATTGAATTTCATTTGTCATTTTGTTGCCCAGATACCCAGTTTTGTGAAATCCCTTCGTAACTCTTCGCAGTCTGCTTTGGACTTAACTATCTTGAGTAATTTTGTATCATCTGCAAACTTTGCCACTTCACTCTTTACCCCTTTTTCCAGATCATTTATGAATATCTTGAACAGCACTGGTCCTAGTACAGATCCCTGAAGGACCTTTCTATTTACTTCTCTCCATTCTGAAAACTGACCATTCATTCCTACCCTTTGTTTCCTGTCTTTTCAGCAGTTATTGATCCATGAGAGGACCTTCCCTCTTATCCTAAGACTGCTTAGTTTGCTTAAGAGCCTTTAGTGAGGGAACTTGTCAAAGGCTTTTTGAAAGTCCAAGTATACTATATTGACTGGATCACCCTTGTCCACATTTGTTGACCCCCTCAAGATATCTGATAGATTGGTGAGACATGATTTCCATTTACAAAAGACTCTTCCCAAACAAATCATGTTAATCAATTTGTCTCATAACTCTGTTCTTTATTATAATTTCAACGAATTTTCCTGATATGGAAGATAGGCTTACTGGGTGCCAGGATCACTCCTGGAGCCTTTAAAAAAACAAAAAAAAAAACCCAAAAAAACCAACCCCAAAAAAACAAAAAAAACCCCAACAACCCATCATCGGTGTTACGTTAGCTGTCTTCCAGTCATCTGGCACTGATATGTTACATACCACAGTTGGAAGTTCTGCAATTTCATATTTGAGTTTCTTCAAAACTCTTGGGTGAAAGCATTAGGTCCTGGTCACTCACTACTGTGTAAAAATTTATTTATTTGTTCCAAAACCCCCTCTACTAACACCTCAATTTGGGACAATTCCTCAGATTTGTCACTTAAAAAAATGGCTCAGGTGTGGGAATCTCCCTCATACTCTCTCTGTAGTGAATCACTTTTGTATCTTTCTAATTCTTGCTTTTGGATTTGCTTGGCTTCATAATCTAAGACTATTACTAGGCTTTTGCAGCGTTAGAAGGTCCAAATACCTTCCAATAAAAACAAAACATTAAAAAACAATCGCATAGTTGTTTTTACATACCGTTTGATTGAGGGATGCCTGGTTAAATGATGCTGCCTGACGGTACAAAGCATGTCTAAGAAACATCTCATCCTTAATGGCATGCAGGCTGAAAAAAAGGGTGTTAAATTCAAAATGTAAACATATATATGTTATAGTGTAGGATGTCATTGCGGATAATTAGGATTGATGAATTCGTTAAAATATATCTCTATATATCTTGCATTAGAAACTTTCCATTTCCCTTTAGATTACACACGGCGCTGTGAAGAATCCTATGATACTATATGTTAAGGTATTTTAATGTATTTTAATTATGCAAATAAGTACATTTGTGAATATGGTAGCTCTCTTTGGCAAGACTTGAGGACCTTAACATATACAACAAAAAACAAGCAAGCAAAATAAAAGCTATGATTAAGGGCTTGTCTCCATAGAGAATTAGTGTGTGGCAATCCACTGTGTGCATCTACAGTGTATGAACATGCTGTGCAATAGCTTGCTATGGAGACAAGCCCTAAACATCCTGCCCTCCCATAAGATGATCAGAGCCAACACAGAGTACAGAAAATACTTTAAAAAAATGAAAACAGAGAGAGAAAAGAAAAGATAGAGTTAAAAATGGAAAAATGTAAAGAAAAACTTTTGTGCATCTTCTATTTTTTAAAATATGGTACTTCTTTTTAATACAATAGAAGGAATATGAAGACATATCTTACTTAAATGACTATATGACTTATGATGTTTGCTGTAGTTGCAGAGAGAACTGAAATAATGGGATGTGACATTCTGCTAACCCCTCTCACATGCTATGACAAATACATCTTTTTACTGACCATCAAAAAAGAATTCTCATGAGTGTTCCTTTTACAAGCCTCAGGCTTAACAATAAAGCAAGCACGCAGAAGAGAATGAGAGCAAAAAGTCAATAAATATTCAGCAATCAGTTGTGCGTATTGCTAGATATATACATTAAATGTATTGATACAATACCATACCCTGTGGAGTTGAAAAATCCGTGAGGAACAGAACATATCCACAGCTTTAAAATATCAGCCATTTATAAATCTATTGTAATTTTATCTCGTAGCCTCTCCCAAGGCTATTTAAGGGCAGTGCCCCCTCTGTCTCTTCCCCACCCCACCTCTTCCTGCCCCCTTTGCCCCATCCCTTGAGCATGCCCCGCCCTCTCCCTCCTCCCGCCCGCAAAGCACCTCCTGCACATGACTGAATAGCTAATCTGCGGTGGGTGGGAGATGCTGGGAGGGTTGGGGAGGAGCTGATCAGTGAGGCTGCTGGTGGGTGGGAGGCACTGGGGGAGAAGGGGAGGAGCTGATCCACAGGGCTGCTGAGCACCCACTATGTTTTTTCCGTGGGTGCTCCAGCCCCAGAGCACCCACAGAGACAACACCTATGTGTAGAAGTGAGGGAGCCTGTCCCCAAATGGAGGAGACATGGTTGGGAAGTTTACAACTGGAATGCTGCCCTTGATAGGAGAGTCAAATTGTCTGCTTGCCTAAAGCTGATGGATGACATGCTGGCTGGTGAACCAGATGGCCTTCTCCTCTGTGATTTGTGTCCCTTCCTAGAGAAGTCTTGCTGTCTAGCAGGATAAGATGCTGAAAGTACCACTGGGAGAGGTATTTCTGCTGCTGTTGCAGACTTCTATAATGGTGCCTCTTTAGTGCTGAGTTATAAGCCCCCAGTGAATTTAAAGTAGTTTGAGTCCTGTGACAGGGTTGGGACTCACCACCGCAGTGCCTCCTGCTGGCACGTCTGGGAATTAGCTCCGTCCTCTGCAGGGCACCCTCTGCTGGTGGTGTCCCATCTGTCTCTCGCCCTGCTGGCGTCTGGACCCACGATGCTCCTCACTCGGCAGCGTCCTCTTCAGGACACTGCCCTCCAGCAGTGCCCACTGCTCTGGTCTAACCCGCTTCCGGGGATTTGGTGTTATCAGCAGTCCACCATCTGCACCTGCCATAGTGGCCGGCTGCAGCCTCTGAGTCTAGCCCCTTCATCGCAGGGGCCAGCCACAGCCGGGATCAGGCCATGCTCCTCTTCAGCCAGGCGTAGTACAAGGGAGAAGGGGGAGACCCAGGCCTACTTGCTACTCTGGGTCCTGAACCAGGGACCCTCTAGTGGCAGCTTCTCTGCCCTCCTTCTCTCCCCTTACCCTGCTATTGTCCTTGGGCCGCTTCCCCTTCAGCCCTATACACTTGCCCGGCCCTTGGTAGCTAGGCCGGCAGCCTGGGGTTTTCCTTGGCCAGAGCTTCCCAGCTCTTTCTACCCTTCCACAGCACTGCTCTGTCCAAGGTGCTACCTTTCAGCTTAAAGAAAAGGAGTACTTGTGGCACCTTAGAGACTAACCAATTTATTTGAGCATAAGCTTTCGTGAGCTACAGCTCACTTCAGCTCACGAAAGCTTATGCTCAAATAAATTGGTTAGTCTCTAAGGTGCCACAAGTACTCCTTTTCTTTTTGCGAATACAGACTAACACGGCTGTTACTCTGAAACCTTTCAGCTTAGGAGCCAGTCCTCCTCCCTTGACCACCAGGGAGAGACTACCCTGCTCTTTGCTAGGCAGCTTTTATATAGGGCCTATGCTGGCCCCGATTGGCTGCCTCTCCCCATGCCCTGATTGGCTCTCCTCAGGCCTTCTCTGATTGGCTGCTGCGGGTCTGCACAGCCTCTCTGGCCTGGTTCAGCCCTTCTTTTCAGGGGGTGGGGCACCACCGCACCACAAGTCCTTAAAATAATGTGATGTCTCAAGAGTTTTTTTCAGAAAACAAAAACTGATCATCAAAAGGTAAGTCCTGTATGCTTTGTTGGACTTCAGGAGCTACACCAGATTTCCGTAACCACAAAGCTCTTCTTATTGTTACAGCTAAGGCCATAATCTTGCAGGAGACATCCACTATGTCCAGTGCTGATTACAGTGATGTCTTTGCCACTAGATGGCCTTCTGCAATGAAAGCCTTAAAACTGTTCCCTGAAGGATTCTGACAACTCATGTGTAAATTTGGGCATAGGCTCCCAATTTACAAAGTCATATTTTGATAACAGCACCTGCTAATTAGCAATGTGAATTTGTAAAGACAAAATTGAATAAATTTTCCTTTCCATTAAATGTAACATTTTAGACTTCTTGTCTTTAGGTGTTTACTTCTATCTCCCCGCATGTAACCGCTCAACTGTCACCATTATGACAAGAGAGGGTTAGGGGCTGAATGTGAGTAGATACACTCATAACCCTGCAGAGGGTTCATACTACCACTTTTCAGTATGCTGTACTATTGACAGTAAGGAAGCTGGTATATACCACAAAACCTTTGTGGGTTCCAAAAGCACTTCATTCCTAGGGAGAGCTTCCCTCCCAGGAGTCAATGACTGGACACTGTCTACCAAAGCTGTAGCCACTAACCTCAGGAGATCTTGATATGACTTAAAGTCCTCAGACACAGGAGAAGATGAATCCAATATACTGGAATCATCTGATGAAGAAGGAAGCCGGTCCAATGGAATTTGCTGTGACTTGCTAATGCAGTAAAGGCTCAGACTGTATCAGCTCAGGAGGACCAATATCAGTATGCATCTCCAGCCTCAGTGGGTTGGGAAATAGGAAGGTTGTGTGACCGTGCTCTGGAATAAGCCCAGAATTCAGACCTTGAAGATCAAGGAACATCCTAAGTGTTCCATGAAGACCACTGGGGGAAATGATATGGCACTGGTGGCTGGTAGGTACTGGGGAACCCTTATCTCTACTGCAAGAATGGTGCTGGTCCTGATACTGATGGTTAAAGCAAATACAAATTTTGTATCCACGCAGGGGTCTGCAGCACACACTCATCTGAATGGAGCGGCTGTCACCCCGCCCTCAGACTCCAGCTTGGCTCTCTGAATCATGCAGCAGTGGGCTGTGATATGTGACAAAAGCCCGCTGGGCATTCTGGGAGTTGTCCCAAGCTTGCTCAGACAGAGGTAAACTACAATTCCCAGAAGGGAGTGTGACTTTTGCACCTGATACCTGGATGGAGAAGGAAAGGCAGAGGATGACTCTGAGCTAGGAGACACGGCACTTCCCACATAGTCCAATGCAAATGGAGGAGGCACCCCTCGTGGAGGCATCACATGTCCCAGCTCATCTGAAGCCCAGTACGGGGGCCACACTGGTATTTACAGATGCATTACAGCCAGTGCTTTGACTACGAGTAGTGCCATTGAGGGAGAACTAACACTTGGTGCTGGAAAAGGCGTTGGTATCGAAGTAGGGGACGGTACTGCCTCTGCAGATCTGGTCCATACCGGGCCTGTAGACACTGAAATTGTCTCTGGTGCCAAAGAAGGAAACAGTACCAACAACAGACCCCTTGGTGCTGATACGGATTCTGGGGCCACAGACAATACCAGCACAGTCGAGGACTCAAAGGCGAGTCTGGAACAGAGAAGCAGAGTAAATCTGCTGCTACTTGAAAAGCTTGTAGGGTCAATATGGTGAGTGCTGAGACTGACTATGTCGGTATCAGATTCAATGGCCACCACACAGACAGTACAGGAGTCAATGGTACAGTGCTGGAATGATCCCATCTTGGTACTGGAGACTGGATAGACAGCCCCACTCTACCTTGAGCACTCGAGGAATCCTGGTGCTGCCCAGTACTCCTCTTAGGTGAGGAAGACTCTTTTCAAGCTTTGGTCAGTCAGTGTTATGAGTCCTCTTTCTCAGGGAAGGAAATCAAGAAGAACAGTTTCTTCCCCTCGGAGAAGAGTCAAAGTCTGGCTGCATAACAGCAACGTGTGGCAGCACCAAAGCCCTCTGAGGAGGCCGGTGATTTGAGGAGGATCCTGACACTGATGTGGGCTTCACAGTTTGCTCTATAAGGTGCTGCTTGAGGCATAATTCTCTAGCCATCTGCATTCTCTTTTTGAAGGATTTACAAATGGAGCACTTTTCCTTAATATGCCCCTATCCCAAGCACAACAAGCACCAAGTATGGGGACCGCTTTTCGGGATAGCTACCCCAAGAGGGACAGTGTTTGAAACCTGGCGAAGGCATAATGCCAGGGAAAATCTTTCTATTAAAATGACTAAACTAATCAACTACTAAGAG